GGACCTACCTGAGAGTTACAAGGAAGTGCATTTCGGAACCTAAACATCCTATCTTTCCTCTCCAATTTCAAAAATATCCAATGAAGCTGTTCTACAAAAGATATGACACACCATTCAATTGAGACACCGAGCCATCTTTTCATAGTGAGTCAGGCCAACACATGTTAGAAGCTTGATCTGTGTAATATCCCTCCTACAGCTACATTCACACCATATTACATACCAGACTATTGTAAATCACCCAGAAACAGAATTGCACTGCAAAGCCATCCACATCATGGACCACCATTGTGGGTGGTCTTTGAAATGCTTAGACTATACATTCTGTCTTGGTTAAACCTAAATGGGACCTTGTCAGTGTCCACAGGAGCTCTTGACAAGGATGAAACTGATTAAGGAAGCAACACCACGGAGCAAGATGGATGTGGCCCGTAATGACTTCATATCAGCCACCATCACTCAAGGGCTCTGGGGAGAAAGCTCCAGTCATTATTTACAGAGAAAACATTCTCTGTGGGGCTAACATGACTCTGCCTTTGACATTAAAGCTTTTAAAGGAGGGTAAAGAAGGTCAGGTGACAACCAAGACTGCCATGGCTTTAGCCAGGGTTCCCACCAATGACTGTAAAAAATATGGACGACGCGACAGCCCTTTTTCCCATTGAACGCCTTGAGGGCAAAACGCCTGCTTGACGGGCACAAACTGTCGCAAAAGACTGCTGAAATTGGAGCCAGACATGCGCAGAAGGATTGTCTGATGGAGCCAGAGGAGGAGCCACGAAAATGAGCGGAGTCGAGTTTCCAATCAAACGCTTTATGTAAAATCAACTACGCCCCCCGAACTTCTCAGCATGCGTTTGCTGTCATATCAACACAAATGGATGTAATAACGTTAACAAATATGAGGGTTTTATATATTCAATCGCGCCAGCTCCAGGCCGCAACAGATAACTTACTCGCGGCGTCGCGGGCTGATTCCGGCTCGCATGCGGCAGCGCCGGCTCGCTCGGCCGCCGCATCTGGCTCGATTGACTCGGGCTGGAATTGGGTAGTGAGTCCAGGCATCCGGAGTAGGTCTAGCAGAGGTAACATTAGTCAGTCTGAGCTCTGAGAGATAAGTCTCCGGCAGGCGAGAATCTAGCCGGAACTGTGTTTTGCTATCTGGGTGGCTAGGCGTGTATCAGCAAACTAATAAAGCCCGAAAAAAGCCCTGAACTTAGCGAATAAACAGTGTTCCACCAGGATCATGTATGTCAGAAACTATAGTTTACTGCTGAACTCATTTTGTCATGGTAAAATAACACAGAAATCGAATAATAACATTTCAGTCTACTTCAGTCTCCTGCCGAAGCTCAGACGCCGCGCTTTGAGAAACTGTCAATCACAGCTGTCAATCACGATGACACGCCCAGCATTAAATTACTGCTAAAAACAAACTGTTTACAAAAATGAAGATCTGCACCTATTTCAGCACAATAACCAGTGCCTTAATCGACCAGAACTATCTTTCGGGACATTTTATTGCAAGTGTAATATTTTTTTTAATTTGGGCTCAAGTCTCCTTCATTAACACGGAGGAGGCGGGCTTTATGACTTGTACTGCAGCCAGCCCCCAGGGGGCGATCTAACGACCGAAACCTTCACTCAAACGTAGGCTTGCGGCACACTTGGTTCCCACTCAAAAGACAAGCGTCAAATTTCCTGACGTTCGTTGAGTAAAAAGCTGAATTTTTATGACCTATAACAAACAATATAGGCAGACAAACATGTATTTTTAATCACGTTTTCACATTGCATCTGGTTCCGACACGTTGCATAAGCCTGAAACAAAGCTAGACTAAAAGTTAAATTAAATTATTTTGTTGAATTCAAGGGCCTGGTCAATTTTATCTAGTCTATAATTAATACAACATTGATTAAAACATTAAATAATGACCTATTGACATAAATCTAAGACTTTAAATATGAGACGTTAGTCTTTAGTATTTATACCAATTGCAGAGGGGTAAAAATTATAAATAGTTAAACTTAACAGTAGGCTAATTCAGCTTTCAGCAACCCATCTAGCTAAATGTACAATTTTATCATTGCCCACTTAAGCTGTATAAAATACACTTAACAGCCACTTTATTAGGTATACCTGTCCAACTGCTTGATAACAAATTTCTAATCAGCCAATCATATGGCAGCAACTCAATGCATTTAGGCATGTAGACAATCAAGACAATCTGCTGCAGTTCAAACTGAGCATCAGAATGAGGAAGAAAGGTAATTTAAGTGAGACAGAACATAGCATGGTTGTTGGTACCAGACGGCTGGTCTGAGCATTTCAGAAACTGCTGATTAACTGGGATTTTCACACACAGCCATCTCTAGGGTTTACAGAGAATGGTCAGAAAAAGAGTAAATATCCAGTGAGTGGCAGTTCTGTGGGCACAAATGCCTTGTTGATGCCAGAGGTCAGAGGAGAATAGTGAGACTGGTTCGAGCTGATAGAAAGGCAACAGTAACTCAAATAAGCACTCGTTACAACCAAGGTATGCAGAAGAGCATCTCTGAATCCAAAACACGTTCAACCTTGAGGCAGATGGGCTACAGCAGCAGAAGACCACACCCGGTGTCATTCCTGTCAGCTAAGCTACAATTCGCACAGGCTCATCAAAATTGCACAATAGACGATTACAAATGTCATAAAGCAAAAATCATCTCAGGCTGGTTTCTTGAACATGACAATGAATTCACTGTACTCAAATGGCCTCCACAGTCACCAGATCTCAATCATATAGAGCACCTTTGGGATGAGGTGGAATAGGAGATTTGCATCATGGATGTGCAGCCGATAAATCTACAGAAACTGCATAATGCCATCATGTCAAAATGGACCAAAATCTTGGATGAATATTTCCAATACCTTGTCGAATCGATGCCAAGAAGGATTAGGGCAGATCTAAAGGCAAAAGGCACTGAAAAATAGCTAACCACAATAGGCAAAACATAAAATATTGGACTAAAAAGCATTATAGATATTACATTTCGATAAATAAATGAGAACATTTAAAATGATAAACAAAACACCTGACATCCCATAACGAGCACAAAAATATGTAAAATGCTATCACTTTTAATGTCTGGAATAGACCTGTTCTGCGCTAGCATTCATGACCTGTTAGAACCCTGTTTATTATAATTTATTGACATTAACATTTTTGTGTGAAGCTGCTTTAATACAACTCAACATTCGTACTTATTGTGCACAAAGTTTGTTTTACCACAAAGACACATTGTTGTAAAGTTTTTGTCACTATTTTGTCAAAATGCAATTGTCGACGCTGAACTATAGTTGGCGCTACAATGCTAACATTAACACTAACAAACTTAACCGACCGTCGTTAGATTCGACGCTGCTAAAGTATTCTGAACGTCTGAATGCTAAATGCTGTTTTCTGACCCTAATTATAATAGCAAAAACTTTAAAATCACATTCTTAAGTTTGCATATACACCTCAGCTCAGCTATGTCCTCGGGTTTTGTCGAAATTAGTAAGTATGATCAAATTCATAAAACATATAATTTGGCATGTGCCACACAAACGCTAATTTACGAATACAGATGGTAACCACCATAGTACATTTTAATAATGCGTGAAATAGTCAAACGTCACAATCTAATTCTTTCTAAGACCAAAAACTGTGAACGTTGTTTGTTCTAAGTCCAAACATCGTCCATTTAACACGTGTGACGAGGTTAATAGCATCGAGAGAGGAGTATACTACTATAATGGAAGTTTTATGAATGAAACACGTGTTAAACTGTTTAACTAGATTGTTTTTAATGGCGTATGTGAAACGCACATTGTTTTGATAACTCACCACCTCCTGACATCAAATGGAGACGCAAGGATGCCCCATGCGTGCACGCGCACGTCTTTTCACCGGACCTTTACGAAAAATTATGAATGATTGTGTGAAGTGGAGGGGCCAGAATGCCACAGCAAGAATGTCGCTGGTTCGAGCTTCGCTGGTTTGAGCCTCGGTTGGGTCAGTTGGCATTTCTATGAGGAGTTTGCAATGCATGTTCTTTTCATGTTCGCTTTGGTTTCCCCCACAAACCCAAAGACATGCGGTGTAGGTGAATTGGGTAAGCTAAATTGTCCGTTGTGTATGTGTGTGATGGCTTGGCGGTTCATTTCGCTGTGGCGACCCCAGATTGATAAAGGAACTAAGCTGAATGAGTGAAGTGATCCATCACCACTGTCTGTTTTTATTGAAGTCGTGAATGCAATATGCTTGAATATGCTATGTTTACTGGTTAGTATATTTACATTGCATTATTTTCTATCTTGATATATATAATATATATATATTTAAAAAAATCTAGTTTTTTAGTATTGTGCATCTTAAATAAGTCATAATTTAATAAAGCGTCAAAGGACCATAAAGTATCCTTACCTTGAATCCAGATCCCAAAGTCCTTTTTTCCACCTTGGTACCCTTTGCAGAGCAATATTCCTTAATATTCAGGATATAATTCCAGTTTCTTTAGAAAAAAAATGTGTATTCACAGGTATAACACACTGGAGTTAAACTTTGGAATGACCATATGTTCAATGTTTTGAAAGTGAATTAGGTTTTGTCTGCACACTGCATGCTGTTTCTGCAGACTTTGACCCTCTTTTTAGTGGCCACAATATCTTTGTAACATACTTCGGCAGAGAAAAAAGGCACAAGGAAAGTGCTGTTGTAAGATAGGACACCTCTTGGCTGAAGTTCAAAGCAATGGCCTTTGATCACTGATACGGAACATCACTGGGGTAAATTGATATATGGTCTACCCTGCATTCACACAGAACTGGATAGAGAAAGGTGATTGTACAGGGGCGCGTAAAACTAATAAAATAACATAAAGTAAAAACATTTTACTGCTGAACACATAAATGCACATATTTTGCATGCATTTTACAGGGAACACACAATATATATTCCATTAAGTTGCATTCAATAACCTTGCCTCATCTCTTTAAAAGCAGAATAAGTGTAGCTATAGCAACAGAGTAAAATGTATATATGCGCTATGTGTCATACAAACCAGCTGAAATGCTAAAGTAATTGGATTTTATACATGTGAACTTTTTCTAACACATTTTTTTTTATAGATGTGCAAGAATGCATCAAGAGGATGATGCTGTGCTAAGGTTTGCTGCATTAAATTGTATGTTAGCTTTGAAGGTAAGTAAATATGATCCCTGTTGTCCACTTCAGAACAACAAAACACAGCTTAAAGGGAAAGTTCACTCAAAAATAAAAATTCTGTTATCATTTACTGGAATTTTTTATAGTAGTTGTTAGGGTTGGGTCGATCTTATGTTTAATTTTTTCTTTATCTATTTACAAAAGTGCATTGTTTTCAGAATAGGTTTGTCCGTGCTTTCAGTATATTTTAATTTATTTTATCAGCATAAACATACTCTTTATAAATAACTGAAGTGCGTTTTAATTTGTTCTAGCCTTACTACGGTACAATGTCATTACCACTGCATTTTCATGACGTGGTTAAATCTCAGAAATTGAACAAAATAAAACACAGCAAGTTTTACCTGCTATCTATTAGTAACAGAGAATTTATTTACACTAGTATGGGATGCTGAAATGAAAGGCTGATTGCTTTACCACATTCCTTCTCTTACCAACAAACAAAAAAAGTACCGTTCAGAAATATCATGCAAGAGTCGAGTTTGCATGGATTCAGCGTTGTCCTCTTTATTTTCTGTGTCTGACTCAGGCTCAAACTAATATGGTCTCACATTATCTAGAGTCTATGGCAGGCCGTTTTAGCATTTAAACTTTTGTTCTGACTATGCATAAATATGGTACGGCAAAGGGTATTTAATGCTAAAATGGTTTACCATAACAGTCTTACAGACAGCGTGCAAGAGAGACATGATGTTTCCTGGTGACATGAAGCCAATCACAACACATTACGCCCCATTCACACGGGGCTTCAGCGTCAACGCTTGACTGAAGGCGTGTCTGAAGTTGGGGCTGAAACGATCGTCATAGAAGCGTCAGTCAATGAAATTCAGTCAGCAATAGGCCACTGTCTATCTTGTGTTTGCATACAGCGATCTGATTGGCTGACGCTTCCGTCGGCGCTTAAAGTTGAGCTAGTCCCAACTTCAGCAGCAAGCAACGCATTTGAAGCGGCGCCGACGGATCCAAAATGCAGTTCGGCAATGCCTGACGTCACCCATTCAAAGTGAACGGGAAGCGTTGACGCTGACGCCCCGTGTGAATTTCAATTTACTATAATATTCTATTTGAAGCTGCTTTGACGCAATCTACATTGTAAAAGTGCTATAGAAATTAAGGTGAATTGAATTGAATTGAATTGAATTGAATTGATCGACCATGCCATCGTCCATCTCTGATGGTGGATAGACATCATGATGCTGAGCCGGCATTGCAATTTTCATCTAACATTTCTTAATAGATTTTGGTCCACACTATACCACTAAAAACGTTCATCACGTGACCACACACACACTCTCTGTCATGTGCTGCAGTGTCTGCGCTCCAGCAGTTAGCGGGTTCTTAGAACACAAAACCCCAGAGAGCAGTGCACGTCAGACAGTTTATCAAGGATGTACCTCTGGATAGCATCTCACTGTAGTCCTTGAACGTGATATTTATTTAATCTTGTCTCTATCTAACGACTCTTTGGTCTTTTGAATCCATCAGGTAACGTGTTACAGCATCAGTACACTGCTTCAATCTTTCGCTTTCACGCTTGTACTTAGGCCGTACTCACACTATGTACAGTTGCCTCGAACCGGGCCAAAGCACGCTTGTCCCGTCTCCCGTCTCCCCCGACGGGCAATTAATCAATTAATCATTCTTACTGTTCAGTGAACGAAAACTGCCGTAGTTTATTAAAGACGCAAGCCCCTCACTGCACGACAGCTGCGCACCTTCAGCAGACCTCCTCATTCCTGCAGCACAAGGGTTTTATGATTGTTTATGAGCACCAAAAGTGGCGGATCTGTTCGGCGAAATATCTGGCTGCGTGTCCCCGCATCCCTAAGGGCTGTTTGGCGAAATATTTGACTGCATGTCACCGCATATCAAATGACTGAAACTTTATAACTAGAGAAATCTCAACTGTGCTGCTGAGTGAGAGCGCTTCTCACTGAACAGCGCAGCATCGATGACGTAAGCGTAACTGGCTCAATTTTGTGGTGTGAGTGTGGGCCATCGGGGGAGACGGGAGGGGGGACAAGCGTGCTTTGGCCGGTTCGAGGCAACTATACCTAGTGTGAGAACGGCCTTAAAGTCACGTCTCGCTTTCAGTTTCGGGCTATTGCGCGTTTTGCACTCACACGCAAAGCCCAAGTGAACCACGCTCAGGCCCACCTCTTCCAACCGGGCCAGGGCCGGCCAAGTAAACCGTGCCTGAGTCTGATTCAGCGCACTCACACTTCTTAAACGATCCGGGAAACGGGCCTAGGCATGGTTCAGATAGCAAAGCGTGTGTAGGCCCTTAGTCATTTTAGTGAAACCTCAGATACTCTTGGTTGGTTGCTGCTGGATGTGCACTTTTTTTACCAGCTAGGTTTGTCAACGCCATTATAACAACACATCACTCTACCTATTCATGCCAGAGTTCTGCGGAAAAAGTGATTGACAGGTGGTAATCTGCGTGTAGCTTATCTTTATTTATTTCTTATTTGGTTATCGGTAAAACAAAGACCATGCGGGTAAGGTAGTTGAAACAGTAGACAGCAAATAAATAATTCACTGCCACCTACGATGACGATGCCATCGTCCATTGCGACGTTTCACGTTAGACATTGTAAGATGCCAAATTGGTCGACATCGCCCAACCCTAGTAGTTGTTTTTCTTACTATGGAAGTCAATGGTTACAGGTTTTCAGATTTCTTCCAAATATTTTCTATGTGTCCATTGGAAGAAAAAAATGTATAAAGGTTTGGGACTACTTGAGGCAGAGTAAATAGTACATTTTTATTTTTGGGTGAACTATCCTTTCAACACCAGATGTAAACAGGAACTTTTTTAATACATATTGAAAAGTTTTATTTTTTGCACATCTTGTTGTTTTTAACAAGCCTTTTCTTATGTGATATCCAAAAATGTGCATAATACGTAACATGTTACAGTGGTATTTATATTGCATTCATTCATTCATTCATTCATTCATTCGTTCGTTTGTTCGTTCGTTTAGCTTACCCAATTCACCTATAGCATTTTACAAGTACTTCTCATATACAAGAATACACAAAACATAAAATACAAAAGTATTAGAAATAAACAAGACAGACCATACAATGATTAAAAACAGATAAAAATATAAAAAATTATTTATTTAAAAGCAATATTTAAACAATATTTAAATGAGTGAAATGTTTGACAAGGTAAGGTTAATTCATGTTGTAAAAAGTCATGTGGTGCAACTCTCTGAAACTGAATGTTATAGTTTGTACATGTCGTTGACATTTATAATTTATTTTTTTATACTGTAGGTTTCTGAAAGAATGACAAAAATCACAATGATCATCTGCAAGTGTCAAAAATGAAGGCAGGTAAGGGGTTTTTGACATGCACCTATTACCCAACAACATTACATTAAAGGAATAGTTTTCCCAAAAATTAAAATTACCCCTTAATTTACTCAAACCATCGATGATGTATATGATTTTTTTTTCTGTTAGTTTAAAGTGGCCCTTCTATTCCATAATGGTGTTGGATAGTGAGTTTTATTTTGAAGCTTTCAAAAGCACATGAATCCATCCGAAAACTGTAAAAATGACTAGATCACTTAAAGGGGTGGTTCACTCAAATACGGTCCCTCATTATTTACTGGAAACATGTAACCATTGACTTTTAGCTTTCTTCAAAATGTTTTCTTTTTGTTCAGGCACCCATGATCCTTTGCTCAGGGAATTGTTTTTAGTTTTGTTTTGTTTTTTCTCTGTCTTGCAATTTGTATAACAATGAACATACAAGGACAATGACAGAAAAAATGTATAGTAACAAAATAAAAGAAAAAACAGAGTATTAAGACAGGACAAATCTATTTCAGGTTTAGGTCTAAATCAAAATGAAGGCTCTAAAATAATGTGAAAATAAATAAGTGTAAAATAAATTGATGAAAACACATGTAAGTTGTATTGTGTCACACAATGCCAGCTGTATTTTATCAATAAATGTATATATAGTGTTTCTCTAAGCAAGTAGTGTAAATATATAAATTAAAAAAATGACAAAATATATAAAAGTTATTAATGCACACATACATAGGCTACTGACATACATACATAAATAAGTAAACAAAAAAATAAGCCACAGCCTGCACAGTGTTCATCGTTATGAGCATGTGTTTTGGCCATCAACTATAACAGAGGCACACCACTATTACTGTCTCAAGATTATGCAGAAGTGCATTCCAAACAGAAGCTTTTTTCACTCCTACAGCCTACTCTACATCCCATCGAAGTTGTCACTCCAAAGAGAAAACACTTTGAAAGGATTAAAGCTTAGGGATGAGCCCTTCTGAATAGAATTCATCGTCTTTCTCTCTAACCCAATTATTGCAAAGACACAGATGTTATTAATATTCTTGATTTGACCTACCTTTACCTATTATTAATTAATTTATTAATTAATTTATTTATTTGTGTGTGTGTGTGTGTGTGTGTGTGTGTGTGTGTGTGTGTGTGTGTGTGTGTGTGTGTGTGTGTGTGTGTGTGTGTGTGTGTGTGTGTGTGTGTGTGTGTGTGTGTGTGTGTGTGTAATTGCACATATGTGTGTCCAGATTAATGAGGTGGATAATTCGTCACCTTAGATTTATATGGTTCTCTCACAATTGATTTATTGACATATTCTTATTAAATGACAACTTTTTTTTACATTATGGGGTGTTTTTTTTTATAAGTGGTTTACATTTTAAGACTTCTTATTTAAAAAAAATGTTACACACATACTGTTTGCTATGGAATGCAAAAACTTTGAAGCTCAATATCTCAAAATCATTTAGAATGCAGATAGAACCTTATAATTCCAAGATGACGAATTGTTGTGGTGGACAAATGCTTTGGCGAGCCTTGATAGTTTAGAAATTAGGTGAAGGAAAGTTGCATAACTACTTTTTTACATGTGATCTAATCTACACATTAATTGTAGCTTCAGAAGTTCATTCAGAAGTCCCGTAACTCATTCAGAACATGCGCTAGGGCTTCCCTTACTATAAAACGTGTAAATCATGGATTTTTGAACTTTGAAGCATTGAAAAGCTAGTTCGTCAATAGGTTTTTCATTTTTGGGTGAAGTAATCCTTTAAAGGGCAGCTATGATGAAAACATAAAAACAGCTTTTGTAAGCTGTTTGTACAGAACTGCGTGTAGGTTTAGTGCAGGGCTATTGAATTAGTTTGCCATGGGGGCCAGTTCATGAAAAGCATCCCAAATGAGTTGCCGGAGAGATATGACTTGTAAAATAAGGGATGACACAACAGCAATATAAGAGCAATATAGCAATATAATAAACAGCAATATAAAATACTAATAAGTTGTATTTGAATAATTACATTTCGGCTGCCCGTGCCACTCGCTTAATGTCAGGTGACTCGCTCTCTGCGCAACCTTCAACTGCAGTTTGTTCTTTATTGAACAGACACTTCATAACTATAGAGCCCGTTTTTCGACTGAACTAAATTTATTTTTGATGTCTTGGTCACTATTTGGAGGGCCGGAAAAAATTGCCTGGGGGGCCGGGTTTAGCCCACGGGCCACCAAATTAAATAGCCCTGGTATAGTGTATCCACTAGGGATGGGAAGATTCATCGATATGTATCGATACGCGGTCATGCGCGTGCACGATGCGAGTGCATCGGTTGAGCAGCAGAGGATGAATGAAATTTTGGAAGCAAATCGAGATGCATCGGTTTTTGCGAGATGCATCGATTTTTCCGAGATACAGCTTATATTTTTAATATAGAATGTATTTTTTATTTATTAACAAGTGTTGTCAACCTGTTTTTGGCGCATAATTTAATCGACCTACATAAAGTAAGCCTTAGCAAGGGATTTGCGGATATGTACACTTACACTACAACTCAGTGTATCAGGTGTGCGGATGAAGCTAGTGGAGCGCCCTCAGAAAGCGCGAGAAGCATAACAAACATTTTTTTCCTCACTGAGTTTTAAGTCATGCAGTATGACTAATCTGAAATCTCACTTGAAGCGGCGCCACGGTGTTGTTGTGAAAGCATCTTCCAGTGTTCCTGCATCCCCGGCTTTCGCACTGCTTCAACCAGCTCCAAAAGTGGTGAGAAAAGCATTGCAAGTTTTTTTTTCCGTGCGCAACAGTTTTGTGCGCTCTACGCCAATAACGAATGCTATTGCATTGTTCATCTGCAAAGATATTCAGCCTAGTGTCACGGAGAACGAAGGTTTTAAACACCTCCTCCTGTTAATTTTTATTTAATTATAATAATAATAATAATATTAATAATAATAATGATAAAAATAATGGGTGTCACGGTGGCACAGTGGGTAGTTTGACCACCTCACATCAAGAAGATTGCTGGTTTGTTATATTTTTATTAGCCTGTTATTTACAGTGATGTTTCAAAGCAACATAACACTGCTAGTTCACAACCTTAAGTTTTGAATAATCAGTGGCAAAATATCTTTGTAAAACTTGTTTTCATAGTTGAAAAGTTAAATCACAATTCTTGTTGTGCAATGGTAAACCTTTATGTTGAAAGAGTGCAAATATATATATTTTTAATTTATATTTCACTTATACATTCTGTTTATCTTGAAAATACTTAAATAATATGTGCTATATGTTCTAAAATGGCCCTCTACTGTAAACTGACACTCTGACTCTGAGAGAAGAGCCAGTTTGTAAAAAAAGTCTTGGTTTTACTTGGTTAATAAATAATCAAACTCATTCAATGGCACAGCATCCTCTTTCACATCATCTCATAAACTTGATCTAATTAGTTAGTGCTGCATTATTGCATTGTATCGTGATATGGGTGTGAATCGCATCGTGTTGCATCGCAATATGTCACAAATGTATCGCTAATATATCGGATCGTATTCTTTGTATCGAGATGCGTATCGGATCGGCATTATAGCTTAGATGCCCAACCCTAGTATCCACTGTCATATTGGAGTGATATAAACCCAACAAGTATTTTTTTAAAAATTTCCTAACGTTAAAATACCAAATCCCAGTGATTTTGAGGCCTACCGCAACTTGACGTAGGAGTGCAGTTTCCCCGCCCCCTAAATTGATTGAAAGGCATCATTTTTCAATACTAACATGTACATGCATGTCCACAGAACATTTGTTTTTGCAAATAAACTGGGATTAAAATATTTGTTACAACTCTCTGCAATTTTTATTAGTTTTTTATGTGAGTCTTATACATTTAAAACAATTTTAAAACAGAGCATGTTTGTATTAAAGTTCAAATTGCTGTGTGTTTTTAAACTGATATAATCACCACAGCCACATAGTGTCAGTAAACGTGTGTGTGTGTGTGTGTGTGTGTGTGTGTGTGTGTGTGTGTGTGTGTGTGTGTGTGTGTGTGTGTGTGTGTGTGTGTGTGTGTGCTGTTAACAGATTTCTGTGAAACTCATCGTTTCGGAAAGGCTTGAATAAATTCCACCACAAATACATAAAATAAACTTACTTGGTATTTTTGACTTCATTTGAGTCTGTCTCTGTCACTGTGCTGTTTATCTGTTGTAACGCACAATAAGAAGCAGACACGCACGTGGGAACAGTGTGCGGGGAGAAGCAGCTCATTTGCTTTTAAAGTCACAGGCTACAAAAACGGCTACACTGAACTCAGACACCAAAATGGACAGATTCTATGTTATATATTTAATAATCTGATAGGTATTTTGAGCTGAAACTTCACAGGCACATTCTGGAGACACCCAAGTAGTATCTTAGATTTTGTAAAAAGGGGTAAAATAGGTGCCTTTAAGGTTAAATCGCACAACTATTAATGACAGTCCATTTTTTAATTTCTTATAAAAAAACTTTCACGTACAAAAACATTAATCATTTTTTATTTCTGAAACTGACAAGCCAATCTTTCCTGCGTTCAACATTAACACATTTAACAGTTTTATGGAATATAAGTGTCTTTGTCTGCTGTCAGTTATACATCACTGAAGAGCCTCTATTTTTCTTTGTGTGACATTGAATGATTGTGGGGTCTTGACAGAAGCAATCAGGATCTCCAAAGCAGATTCACCCTCATTGGCCCCAACATTACGACCAGACACCCTGAAACCTCCAGGGTCTCGTGCCTAATTTCTGAGGTCATCTCAGCGCTTGCTCATCCTATTACTCTGGTGCAGTTGTAATCAATGGACCTTGCAACACTCAATTAAGGCTTAATTGGATTGGTGTGTGCTCCTAGTGAAACTGTCGGTTCCCTGTTCGTGTGAGGAGACAGAGCTGATTATTACTGTCGACAAGTGTAACGTACAGAGATTAAAGCAGCTGCTGCTTGTGTCAGGATAAATACCACTTACAAACTCATTCATTGTACAGT